CTCGTCGTAGAAGCCGTAGACCTGGGTGATCTGTCGGCTCTCGTGATTGCCGCGAAGCAGCGTGATGCGCGACGGATGTCTTGCCTTGAGGGCCATGAGCAGCGAAAACGTCTCCAAGCTAAAGTAGCCTCGGTCCACAAAGTCGCCCTGTACATGTACGATCGATGAAGAGCATGTCAGTATGCCGCCATGATTGTGGAAGTGGGCCGGGAGCGCGCACTTACCATAAAGACGTAGGATGTTTCCGGTGGCTCGCCGCCGACGCGGAAAAGCTCGAGGAGGTCCCAAAACTGGCCGTGGATATCACCGCATACTGTGACGGGGCTGGACACGGGCTGAATGTTGCTCTCCTCCATGAGAATGCCTCTGACCATTTCGCACAGTGCCTTGATGTCGGGCTCTGGGAGGTACTTGCATTGTCGAAGCTGTTCGATCCAACTGTCTGGATTGCCGATAGCCATGGTGGTAGAGGGGCAGCCGAGAGCCGTGGCTAGCTGTAGAGTGACAATTCAGCTGCTTGTTATAGATATGATGTCGCTTGGAAGCAGGCGCAGGGCTGAGTCGAGCGAAAGGAGTGTCGTCTCAGGCGTGGGTCGTAAGTCGTGACGATCGGATCAGCCGAGGAGCGGTCCCTCGGAGCTTTTGCGATGGGTATGACTGGGTGATCGAGCGTGTTGGATGCAGCTCGCGAGAGAAGTGCGCAGGAGCGAATGTCGGCCGATCCGAATGCAAATGAAAGGCGGTGATGAGCAGAGGTTAGAGCGTCCGATGAAGGATGATTGATTGTCAGTCCGAGTCGAGGGCCAGCATGTCACCGCTCCGCGCACATTCGCGGCCTGCTTTGCTCTACTGGCGACGCTGAGACCCTTTCTTGCCGGCCACTGCTGCGCCTTGCGATTTCGCAACGCTCCGCAGCCCAGCACAGCGCAGCGTAGCAACCGGCGCAGATCCGAATCGGCTTGCGCGAATCGGCCGATCTATTTTTCGCCGCCGCGGAAGTCGGCAATCTAAGAGAGTGCGCAGCGGCAGCAAAAATCGCGGGCCCTGAGAAGCTTTCGTCAAGAAGCTGCTGCGAAGACGGGAGGGCGCGAGGCGAGCCGAGGCGAACACAAAAACCAAAAATCGCCGCGGTGGGTGGAGAATTTGTTCGGTGCCCGCTGCCTGATCCTCGCACTTTCCTCCTCCCACCTGCGCATATCCTCTTCGACCGATCACGATCACAGTTCTACCCTACCGCCCTATCACGTTCACACGGCACGGCGCGATCCTCTCTCTGCAATCGCCACGCCTCTCGGTACGATCGCAATCACATCGACTCACAGCGCCCACCCTCTCCATCCGCAACTCGATCTGCGCAAGGAAGCGTCTACGCCTTCGCTAAACGCACCGCCGGCATAGCACCAGGGTGCTAGCTAGTCGATAGTCCGCGCTTCCGAGCAGAGCTCTTCCTGTTCCACCCCAATTCTCATCAAACGCAATCCAGCTCCACCAATAAGCGACACATCAGGGGCAGGCCTCCCATACCTGCGGGCGTGCCAGGTGGTATAACGAGGACGCGACGCCATGGCGCTTCCCTCTAGCCTCGCAGAGATGGCCCAGGCCACGGGTCATCTCCCTCCCCACGCCTCGGACGACCCCATCGCCGCCCTCAAGGCCGCCAACTATATGGGCAAGGGTCTCATGGACCCCATCAAGACCGTCGAGGACAAGTGGCAGCTCGTTCCCGCCTTCCTCCAGGTCAAGGGTCTCGTCAAACAGCACATCGACTCGTACAACTACTTTGTCGACCACGACCTCAAGAACATCATCAAAGCAAACGAGAAGATCACCTCGGACATCGACCCCAAGTTCTACCTCAAGTACACCGACATCACCGTCGGTGAGCCACGCAGATACGACGGCGATGCGTTACAGCGTCCCATCACCCCACACGAGTGCCGTCTGCGCGACATCACCTACTCGGCGCACATCTTTGTCAACATCGAGTACACCCGTGGCTCCAAGATCATCCGCCGCAAGAACGTCGCCATCGGGCGCATCCCCGTCATGCTCCGCAGCAACAAATGCGTGCTCGCCAACAAGTCTGAAAAGGAGCTTGCCAAGATGAGCGAGTGCCCGCTGGATCCAGGAGGCTACTTTGTCGTGAAGGGTACCGAAAAGGTCATCCTGGTTCAGGAGCAGCTCTCCAAGAACAGAATCATCGTCGAAGCAGACTCCAAGAAGGGCACCGTCTCGGCCTCCGTCACCTCGTCCACACACGAGCGCAAGTCCAAGTCCTACGTCCTCACCAAGCACGGCAGGATCTTCCTCAAGCACAATTCGCTCCACGAGGACATCCCCATCGCCATCGCTTTCAAGGCCATGGGCATCCAGGCAGACCGCGAGATCCTCCAGCTCGTCGCCGGCCACGACGACGTCTACAAGGAGCTCTTTGCCATCAACCTCGAGGAGGCCGCGCGGCTCGGCGTCTACACGCGCAAGCAGGCGCTCGACTTTATCGGCGCGCGCGCAAAGGCATCGCGCAAGCCCCTCTCCATGCGCCGCCCGCTCGCCGAAGAGGCGCTCGACGTGCTCGCCACCGTCATCATGGCCCACGTGCCCGTCGAGCGTCTCAACTTCCGCCCCAAGGCCATCTACATTGCCTGCATGGTACGCAGGGTGCTCATGGCCATGCAGGACGAGAAGAAGGTCGACGACCGCGACTACGTCGGAAACAAGAGGCTCGAGCTCGCAGGTCAGCTCCTCGCCCTGCTCTTCGAGGACCTCTTCAAGAAGTTCAACTCGGACCTCAAGCTCAACATCGACAAAATCCTCAAGAAGCCCAACCGCACCGTCGAGTTCGATGCCTTCAACCAGTTTCACTTCAACGGCGACTACATCACCTCGGGCTTCGTCCGCGCCATCTCCACCGGCAACTGGAGTCTGAAGCGTTTCAAGATGGAGCGCGCCGGTGTCACCCACGTGCTCAGCCGGCTCTCATACATCGCCGCACTCGGCATGATGACGCGCATCAGCTCGCAGTTCGAAAAGACCCGCAAAGTGTCCGGTCCGCGTGCGCTCCAGCCTTCTCAGTGGGGTATGCTCTGTCCCTCGGACACGCCAGAAGGTGAAGCGTGCGGTCTCGTCAAGAACCTGGCGCTCACCACGCACATCACCACGGACGTCGAGGAGGAGCCCATCGCCCGCATCGCATTCACGCTCGGCGTAGAGGACATCCACCTCCTCACCGGCGCAGAGCTCTACCGTCCCGACTCGTTTGTCGTCTACCTCAACGGTAACGTGCTCGGCGTCACGCGATTCCCGCAGCGCTTCGTGATGCAGTTCCGACGTCTCCGCCGTGCCGGTCGAATCTCGGAGTTCGTCTCGGTCTACACAAACAATCACCACCAGACAGTCTACATCGCTTCCGACGGCGGTCGCATCTGTCGCCCGCTCATCGTCGTCGATGCAGTCACTGGCCAACCGCGGGTCACCGAGGACCACATCCGACAGCTCAAGTCCGGCGCGCGTCGCTTCGACGATTTTCTCCAGAATGGCCTGTTAGAGTATTTGGACGTCAACGAGGAAAATGACTCTAACATTGCTATTTACGAGCGCGACATCAAACCATCATACACAACTCATCTCGAGATCGAACCATTCACCATCCTCGGCGCCGTCGCTGGTCTCATTCCTTATCCTCAACACAACCAAAGCCCAAGACTTGCCTATCATGCTTGTATCATTCCCCTCGTTTTCTGCGCAGAGCAGCTTCGTTTTGGGCACTTATACTAACGATCAGCTTTGCTTTGCTCTCCCCGATTTTTCCGTCAACAGTGCGCAATGGCGAAGCAGGCTCAAGGGTCGATCGGCTACAACCAGCTCGAACGTATCGACACGCTACTGTACCTCATGGTATACCCGCAAGAACCCATGGTCAAGACGCGAACGATCGAGCTCGTCGGGTACGACAAGCTGCCGGCGGGACAAAATGCGATGGTCGCCGTCATGTCATTCTCTGGCTACGATATCGAGGACGCGCTGCTGCTCAACAAGGCGTCCTTGGACCGTGGCTTCGGCCGCTGCCAGACCATGAAGAAGTCTTCGACAGTGATTCGCAAATATCCGAATGGTACGCACGATCGGCTGGCAGACGCGCCCGTTGACGAGGCCACTGGCAAGCGGCAGAAGCGCTACGATATCCTGGAAGCGGACGGCATTGCGGGCGTTGGCGAGCGTGTCGATCAAGGCGACGTCTACGTCAACAAGCAAACACCTGTCAATGCCAACGACAACTCGTCCACGGCCATCATGATCGGTGCCTCCAACGCCGCCGCCTCCGTCGCGTACAAGTCTGCGCCGCTGTCGTACAAGCCGCCTGTGTCGGGCTACATCGACCAGGTGCTCATCACAGATACCGACTCGGACCAGACGCTCATCAAAGCGCTTGTCCGCCAGACCCGCCGTCCCGAACTCGGCGACAAGTTCTCCTCGCGACACGGTCAGAAGGGTGTCTGCGGTCTGATTGTCCAGCAGGAGGACATGCCGTTCAGCGACCGAGGCATCAACCCGGACATCATCATGAATCCACACGGCTTCCCGTCGCGCATGACGGTCGGCAAGATGATCGAGCTCCTCTCGGGCAAAGCGGGCGTCGTCACGGGTACGCTCCAGTACGGCACGGCTTTTGGCGGCTCTCAGGTCGAAGACATGTCGCGGCTGTTGGTCGAGAACGGGTACAACTACGCAGCGAAGGAAACGCTTACTTCTGGCATTACGGGTCAACCTCTGGAGGCCTACGTCTACTTTGGTCCGATCTACTATCAGAGGCTGAAGCACATGGTGCAGGACAAGATGCACGCACGAGCGCGCGGCCCGCGTGCGGTTCTGACACGCCAGCCTACCGAGGGTCGTTCGCGCGACGGTGGTCTGCGTCTCGGTGAGATGGAGCGAGACTGTCTCATCGGCTATGGCGCGACGCAGCTTTTGCTCGAGCGATTGATGATTAGCTCGGACGCCTTCACTGTACACGCGTGCCAGAGGTGTGGTTTGATGGGTTACAACGGCTTCTGCCCGTACTGCTCGAGCAGCAAGCACGTCGTCCAGCTCACCATTCCGTACGGCACCAAGCTCATGCTGCAGGAGCTCATGGCCATGCAGGTCGTCCCGCGCCTCGTGCTCGAGGACGCCATTTGATCCGAATCCCTCACCGCCGCCCCCCACTCCCCGCACCGGTCCGCACCGCATGCTCGAGGCAGCCTTCTGATCCGCGTCCCCCACCAGCGCCATTTGATCCGCATCCCGCACGTGTGTGATCTGATCCGCATCCCACCCGCACATCCATGTATTCTACTCATTCACATCAAGCACACGTTGTTCCGTCTGTTCACACACAACATCGGGCACCATTTTGTGCTGGCTTAGGGTGTATATTGGCTGGTACCACCCGCGTTCCTTGTCGCGCGCACGAGCCTAGAACAGCCCCATCTCGCGCAGGAAACGGTCGAAGCTGAGTTCGGCCATCTTGGGGAGCTCCTTGACGGCCAGTACGAGCTGTGGCAGGTAAGGATGGTCGCCGCCGCGGAAGCGCTTAAAGATGTCGAGGTACTTGTGCAAGATGGCCTCGATCGCGTAGCTGGGCGAAAAGGCCTTGTCGAGCGGCACACCGCCGAGGGTTGGTGCAGTCGAAGACGTCGACGGATGATCGGTCGCCACGTCCATGGCCGAATTGGACGCTGGGCTCTGGTACTGCCCGACACTGCTGGCGTCGGGTGGCGAAGGGCCGAAATACGGTCCAAAGAGCGTAGGGTCCGTCTTGATCGGATCGCCCTCGAATGGCACCGACATGGCAATCGCGGGATAATCGCGACACACGATCACGAGCGTCTGTGCAATGTCGTTGAGCTTGCGCGTGAGGCCGATGCCGTGCGCCTCCATGGACCGCAGCGAGAGCGAGTTGCACACGCGCAGCGTCTCGCGCGCAATGTCGATGGCATAGTCGATGCGCAGCGGCTCCTCCTCCGCATCCGCCGTCAGCAGACCGTGCGAGCGACACGTCATCCACAACCGGTTCAGCAGCCACTGGCGCGTCACTTCCACATCCGCCTTCTGCACCTTGCTCTTGTCCCAATCCGACTTGGAATGCGAGGCACCACCACCGCCACCGCCCGGCGTATCCTCCGCTTTGGCGCCCGAGGCCATGTGGCTGGCGTACGGATGGTGCCTACGCTCGCCGTGCGTGGTGTCCCTGCGCATCGGCCCCGTGTTGGCGCGATCGCGGTGGAACGACTCCTTCTCCTTTTGCTCGTCCTCGTCGCTCTCCTTGATCGCCCGGTGCAGCTGCACCGCTCGTTGCGCATCCAGATAGTCGCATCCAGGCCCAGGGCACTTGCGGTTCCAGCAGTCGACAAACTTTTCGTCGACCACGTCAAACAGCCGACTCTGCAGGTTGGGAAAGTCTTGCAGCTGGGCCACGTCGAACTTTCTGCGGATCGAGTCGGTCGCCTTCCTGGGATTGCCTCTGAACGTGATGGACGATCCGGACTGGATCGCATAGGCACGCTCCGTGATGGCGAGCAGCAGGTAGGCACGCAGGCGGCGCTCCTGTTCGTCCTTGTCCAGGTTCTCGTACGACGAGGTCTCGTGGATGCGCAGCAGGTATCCGAGCGTCACCGCCTCGCGCAGCCGGAACCACGCCGCATTCTCCTCGCCCAGACCAAAGAGCGTGCCAAAGATGAAGAAGGAGCACATGATGGCCTCGAGCGACGGATGGCTGCCGAGCAGCGCGCTGTTGCGCATCTTGACCGACTCCTCGAGCAGGCGGCGCACCTTGCGCTTGCGCGACGAGCTGTCCACGGGGTCGGTCGAGTCGACGGGCTGGCACAGCGCAAACGCCGAGAGGGCGATCAGCATGGCGCCGAGCTGCGGGTCGGTGCGATGCTCGCCGCGGTCGATCTTGTCAAAGACCCAGGCGCGTGTGAAGACGGGCATGATGGACTGGAGGCGTTCAAAGAAGACGGCGATGTTGGGGATGAGCACCGAGTCGGAGAGCGGGTGCGCCTCGTTGGCGTCGCTCTCGGAATAGGTGACCGAGCCGGGCGTCGAGGAGGGTCCGCCGAGCATCTGGCTGTTCTGACCGAGCACGTCGAGGAAGGTCTGGCGTCCTTGGAACGAGCCGTTGCCATACGCGTTGTGGGGCTGGTGAAATCCATTCGCGTTTCCGCCCATGCCGTTTCCGGCGCTGCCTGAGCCGCCGTCGTGAGGGAGACCGCCCGAATTCATGTCGAGCAAGACGTTGCGCCTACGCTCGCCGCCGCCGTCGTGCGGATTGAGGTAGGAATCGGCGAGCGAGGTGCCAAAGTCCGGCAGGCGAAGGCTGGCAGCCACATCCGGGGCAAGCTCGGAGAAGGAGCCGCCTAAGCCCTCCGAGAAGGTCTCGGAGGGAGCAAAGCCAAAGTTGGAAGTTGATACGGAAGCGCCGGCGGCGGCGGACGATGGCTGGCGTTGGTGGTGAGGTGGTGGGGGTGGGTTCTGGAAGCTTTGGTGCGACGGGTATGAATGCGAAGGCGAATGATACGGCTGGTGCGGAGCATGGTGGCTCGAAGAGGAGGTAGAGGCGGCGAGATGTGAGGGCGGATAGTCTGATTGGCCGTAGGAGCCGTGCGAGGGGTAGCGATGGGCTGGCGAGCGTGCCGAGGGACTAGACCAGTGGGAGGACGGTGATGGCTGCTGGGCGGGACCGGAAGGGCCAGCGGCGGAGCTGCCATCGAATCTGCCGTATCCTCCGTACGAGTTGCGAGAGCCGGAGGGACCGTCGCGGGAGTAGAGGCTGGAGCCGCCCATGATCTGGGACGGAGAGTTGGCGCTGGGAGGGACGCCGGGCGGGCTCATTGCGGCGCTGCCTGCGGGAGGCGGAGGATAGTGGCGGGGCGAATGCGCATGCGGATGCGCATGTGGATGCGGATGCGAGTGCCCCGGCGGAGGCAGGATGGCGCGCGATGCGGACGGACTTGGATTGGTGATGGCGGCATGCTCAGCGGGGAGCCTCGCGCCCGGTGGCGACGGGACGAGGTCGGTAGCGGCGGCGGGGTTGTGTCCCTTGCGCAGCAGATCGATGCGTCTGCCGGATGCCTGCTTGCCCTTGGAAGCCTTGATCCAGGTGCAGCTGATGTTGAGACGGAGGCAGTTGTCGCAGGGGTTTTCGTGATTGCAGCGGACGCGGCGGTGATGGCAGGCGTCGCAGGCACGGAGCACCTTTTTGGGCTTGTCTTTTGAGTCGTCGTCGTTGTTGTTGCTGCCAGCAGAGGCGCCCGCCTCGTGGCGAAACGCCTTGGAGTCGTCCTTGGGCATGAGCGTGGGAACCGCTTCGGACAAGATCCGATCCGATTAACAAGCACTGACGGTGAAGCGGCGGATCGGCAGTGGAGGCGAACGTGACTGTCACTAGCAACTACAGCAGCAGCAGCAGC